ATTGCAGTAAAAAAAAAAAAAAAAAACTCATGTATTTTGATAAAAAAATAAAGATATATAACTAGATTTGAGGTGTTTTTGTGTTTAAAATTTCGAAAACTTAATAAAAAACCAAAATATAAAACACAAAAACAAATTAAAATTGACCCAAAATTCATAATGCATACTTTCTGAAACCGTGAGGGATATGGAGACAAGTGAGAAGAGATAAGATAAATGCAAGGATGCGGAGGAAAAAATTAAAAGCCCTACAAAATCGGACATGGATTGCCTTTTATATTTGATAGACTTTTTCCGGTCCGTTAGATTTATGTTGACAAATTTACGCCGTTGGATCAATAATATAAATGAATTCTGATAGATTTAATTTCATCTGAACTGGGCCGGATGTTTGGGCTCTATGTCTTACACATAATATTCATATTCTTATATTGGGATATTTATTGGATCCAACAGTTATAATAAAATGGCCAATTAAGTAATTCATAATTTTAAAATAATAAGGCTACAAATTATCATGAAAGACGTTCTACAATCTCCGTTGTATTTGGCTATGCAATTATAAAACCAATATAAATCATATCATATATATTCTGCTAAATAATTTAATTGATTTAATTAAACCTGTCTAGAAACCTAATATAATTTGTGATGATAGACGATATACCAAAAGATCAAACAAATAATGTTGTGTACAAGGATGTGTTTAATAATATATAAGTTTCATTTTGTTTTATACCGTTCTTCCAATCATCCAATTCTAAATGATAACCTTAATAAAACTAGCTCGTGCATCGCATGGTACCACACTAGTAAATCCAAATATAATTAAATGTTTTAATTCATATTTTTCATGTAGAGCTTCGGATCACTCTGTATCGTATCATACTGATGCAAACGAGGGGCAACTTCTCAATAACACGTATAACTGTGCCCAACGTGCTCGTATCAAGGAAGCGCGTGCAGCATACGCCAATAAGCTCGAGTTTTTTTTTAAAACTCGTCCTACCAAACCAAACTTATTTGTATACCAAAAGCTTGTAAGCACCAAATAAACTATAAGCTAACTTATGATGTTTACCATGCGCAATCTTAAGCATCACAAAACTCAAATGCGTGTGTCAAAGAAAAAAGATTACAAAGACGAGTATTCAGGTTGAATGAAATGAACAAAAGGCTTTTAAATATGTCCATACGGAAACGGAAGCAAAGATTGCCTAAACCCTCAAAACATAGTACACAGCGTCGTGCAGAAGAGTGGCTTTTAAATAACAGCCTGAAAACAAAAAGAATCACTAGAGAAGAATACTCGGTTATTAGGAATTTGGCATCAGTACTAATATCGATCAGCAAGCGCAACCACCTTGTTGTTCTGTTTCCGTAACAGCCTCTGGCATGCCCTGGAAGTATCTGCAAGTACCAAAATTTATATAAATTATTTTGGAAAAAAATAACAAATGAGCTACTAGACTGAAGAAACCGCTTTCATGGCTTCACGTTACATTTCAGAATCAAGAAAATAAAATTTCGGTCATGTCCACACAACTACATGGATACCATGAGTC